GGTGGGAGAGTTGGCGAGCCGTGCAGCCTGATCTCTGTTTGTGCAAACAGCAGGAGCCTGTTGCAACAAGACGTCTCAACAATAACAGCTTCCTGTATCAGAGAATGAGGTGCAGAGAGAAATCATCACAGTGCTCTCTTTGTGAGACTCGCTGAAGCGCATCGGCAAGTGTCGATTGTTTCCTTGCATGCTGAGAGTGTAAACATGTGTTAAGGAGGCTTAAGTGTTCAACGTAGAGTTCAGTCTTACAACTTGTTGTTTTTTACCTTTTTTGTAATATTTCATAGAAAAAGTAACTATCAAGTAAACTGACAGTGATCCTTTGTAGCCGCTTCAATTAAATGACTCAATATATTTTTAATTGCTAACTTATTTAGTAATATTATTATTTGTGAATAATAAAGTGATATGTCTAATTATTTGGGGGCCTTTCTGCATTGATTTACAATATTAATATTTACAGTGATGAGGCCCAGTGTTTTGTTTAGTTTTGTTATTTTTGAGAGAGAGTGATGAATAGATGAAAGTTTGAGGTGTACCGGGGTGAGAGGACATATATATATATATATATATATATATATATATATATATATATATATATATATATATATATATATATATGTATATATATATATATATATATATATATATATGTATATATATATATATATATATATGTATATATATATATATATATATATATGTATATATATATATATATATATATATGTATATATATATATATATATATATATATACATATATATATATATATGTATATATATATATATATATATACATATATATATGTATATATATATATATATATATATATATATATATATATATATATATTTATATATATATATATATATATATAATGTCCTCTCACCCCGGTACACCTCAAACTTTAAGTGAACTAATTGAAACCTGAAGCCTGTGGGTTGATTTGCTTTTCCTCCCTATATCTGCCATGTTAGGCTGTATTTTTTTTTGTTCGTTTTTTTTTTTCAGTGTTTCTTCTGCACGGTGATGGGGAAGCTTCTTCCTATTTGATCTGAGTGTTGTAGACCAAATCATATTTTCATTTAGAAGTGAATAGGATCAATAAACAGGACAGAAGAATGGTTGGTTGTGCTCCACTTGTTTCCTGCTCTGATTATATCTCCCACTCTTCTTTTTCTTCCACTTTCATCTGTTTGTCTTTTTACTGTGAATTTGTCCCTCATATCGGTCCGTCTGGCTCTGTGTAATGAAACTCTTTGTTTACTTTTCCTCCTCTATTATTTTTTTTTCACCTGACAACCATTGGATAAGGACTGCAACTTGATGTGGCATGCATGCTGGGAAGTCATCACAAAGACAGTGTTTTCATGACAAATAAGTCTTTGTGTGTATGCAGTGTGCTTCTGTTGTTTGCAACTGTATCATCTGTGTGCGTTTGCGTGTCCAAGTGTGCATCTCTATTTGCCAGCGTTATATATGGTATAACATTCCCTGTCTCAGCGTGTTGTCTCTGTGTTTGTCTCTGCATGCCTTATGTGTTCATATCTCACTGTGTGTGTGTGTGTGTGTGTGTGTGTGTGTGTGTGTGTGTGTGTGTGTGTGTGTGTGTGTGTGTGTGTGTGTGTGTGTGTGTGTGTGTGTGTGTGTGTGTGTGTGTGTAGCCATCTGTTCTCTGTCAGGTCTGGTTCTGACTCTCGGAGTGTTGTCTCCCTCTTGAGTGTTTTGGGATCAGGAAGACATGCATCATAACTTTATCTATGATGTACCATCCTCTGACCACAATAGCATATACAGACATGAAGAAAATGTTGGTACCTTTCAGGTAAAGGAAGAAAAGCCCCACAGTGTTCACTGAAATGCCTTGAAACAGACAAAGGTTTTAAGACATGAAATGAAATTCAGACTTTTGTTTTCTAAAATTCTGTACTTTGACCTTGACGTAATCTTTTTGCAGCTGTTTTGAGCTCTTTGGTTCAAATTATCCATCTTTTTAATCTCTGCGTTCATGTCCAGGGAGGGTGTCTTCAGTTCCATGGACCATAAACCTCTCAGTGTCTGTCCAGCTGTAGTCATTAGGACATCAAGCTGCCTGGAGATGGTCTTCCAGCATTTACCTTTAACCTGTTGGTCAATCGTTGTCTTCCTAATCAGAGACCAATCTCTCCTGAGCTTTCTGTCATCCATGTTTAATGTGATACACACCCTAATACCAAACAGCCCTGTGACTACATTTAACCCTTTAACTAGTCACACTGACTGAACTCAAGACTGAAGGCACATGTGATGCTGCTTACAGGACCCACCTTTGTGTAGCACGTCCCTATTTTGTAATTTTTTAAGAGTAGGTGAATGTTAGCTAAACTAAGTTATAGTCACACATTTGATAGGTTGTGTATCTAAGAGTGTAGACATAACACGCTACAAAGTGGCTATTCTCAAATCCTCTCTCACCTTTCCGTCTTCTTCACACTTCTGCTGTGTATCTTTTTTCCCCTTCGTCACCTATTCCCTCCCTCGGTGCTCTCCTGATTCCTGCAGAGAGCTGCTACGTCATGGAAACAACCAGCTCACTGTGTGCATGTGTGGGATAGCTGGTGTTAAACGCACCCTAACAGCACCTCCTGCTGTCCTGCGTGACAGATTATTGCAGCCAGTGAGCATTTACAAGGAGACAGAGAATGTATTTGTCAAAACACTGATTTTTGTTTCAGCACTTTGAGCTTTAGGAAGCCATTGTTCCCCAAAGACAATGAAAGTCCCCATGTGTTGTCGACAGGCTAAAAGTGGTTTCTAGCTAAATACAAAAACTAAATTTCATTATTTTTTTCTACTGCTGCAGCAAGAGTTTTGCCAGCTGAGCGTTTTATTGACAGCTACTGTATTTCTAACCTTCTTTGGCCGGTGGCTACCTTATTGATCTCACAAATCAAACAGGATAAGTCGTCTGCATGGCACCACAGATTCAACCACAGCTAAAAAATAAATAAAACACCATAGCAATCACATCATCCATGAAAATTACAGAAAACCATATTTGATTAATTTTTATTTTTAAAAAACATACATTTCTGTGAAATATTAGTGTAGAGTTCAAGATTGAGCAAGTGGTAAATTATATAAAAGCACATTAATATGTGGAATTAAACATTATCAGGGAGTGAAATCAGTTTAGCTTGCTAATGTTTGTTTTTCTTTATATAAATACATTTACATTTTCTAACTTATTAATTAAATGGGATTTGGGTCGCACATTAGATAAGACGAAATAAAAAAGAAAGCAGCTTACAGCCAAAAATAGTTGCATAAAATTGTCTGAAGCAACTTTTAAATCAAAACCTTGATTGATACTTAAAATACTTCATTTTGTGTTAATTTATGTCAGATTTTTGCTCTATCTGTAAAACTAATAGATTTATAGCCATTTATTGATTATGTGAATTGGATTGAGTCCAAAAGTTATTCAGTAGCTGGTGTACATCCAGTGATTTCCTGTGATTTTCAGTAGAATTCATCCAATGGTTACAGAGGTATTTTGCAATCACTGCAGACAAACGGCTGAATAGTTACAGATGGATGTGTGGTGCTTTGGCAGCACTTCTCAAAACCAACAATTAAAAAAGGGAGCCATGAAAATCTCCTAATTACACAGAGACACAAGCAAACACTTAAAAGCAGGGAGTATTGTCTGCAGCCTCCCACATGCATGAATGTACTTAACCCAACTGCTCTGCACACAGTTCTTTAATAGAGAAAACGCTGGAGACCCTAAGCTTCAAAAAAATGGGATTAATTACATATTTTTATTTATATGTTTCCACCTTTTAAAAATCTTTCAGTGTCAAATGGTGTCAACTTTCTTCTACTGGTTGGTGGATGCATAAAATGCGTAACCATTACCAAGAGGCCGAGCCCTACTAAATATGTCTTTATTTTGTTGGAAAGTTACTTACTTACAGCCATGTTAACAGTTTGGTCTGAGTTTTAACCCTTTTTTATTTCAGTGTCACTTTTAAAGGATGCAAATTTTAAGTTGTTACAAGAGAATTTCCTGAATAAAAGCAGCAGTTGATAATTATCAGACAATGTTGGAAAGAATGTGACATCCCTCTCTGCTATCCTTCAGCACATGTTTCTGTGACAGTTTCAGCTAAACTGACCTCAATTGAGCTGCCAAAAGTTTTAATATTTATTAAGCCTAGTTTATGCTTCTGCGTCAGCTCTACAAGGGAGAGACGCACACGTATTCATAAAGACGTTTCGCTGTTCCGTCAGCTGGGGAGTGTTGCAAAGCAGTTCCCCGCCAGGACAGCAGAGGGCGTAGTGCTGTTATGTGGTATCCTGTCATGTATCCGGTCCAAGTATCTGTGTTCAAGTATTTGTATTTCAGATGCTTTTTAGCACGGACAAATTTGTCCCTCATTCTCCTCCGCCTCTTCTCGTGCTCGCCCCCTCTAAACCTACATTTCCTGTCATGTTCATCCACGAATAAAATGCTTGCTGCATATTGTTTTTTACTACTCAGGTGAATAAAACAGTCATATTTTGAGTTTTTACGCAAGGTGTTCTTCAAGCTGTTCCATGTCAACCTCTAGGGTGCAATGGCGGTGCTGTTGACGAAGCAGTGTCCTGACCAATCACAAGCTTGCGTTCTCTGTCTCGTTCGACGGATGTATAGAAAAGTGGGTTCGACTCCGTTCGTCCTTGCAAGCCTGCTAGAGAGCCCCTGCAAGAACAGATAATGGCATTTTGGGTCTCCATACTGACGCAGAAGCATAAGCTTGGCCTTAGAGAGCTTGCTCTTATACTTTTGGATCTGAAAGACCAACCTATTTACGTCCTCTTACACCAAGAGCAACTTTTACTGTTATTTATTGATGGATTTCTGCAGCTTCCCTCACCCAGATGCTCTGTTTTCTCCCTCTCCTGCTCCATTTGTCCTCATTCTGTCCATCAAACTTTGTCCTTCCCCCTACACAATCCTCCTACCCTTTTAGGTTTGTCAAAGTCTTTCCCATTGGACAACTCCTTGTTCGAAAGCTGGCTCGCTCAGTCCGTTCAGATCACCGCTGATGACATGCTAAGCCAATGGGCTCTGGGTGCCCAGCATCACGACAAAAGCGGCAGCCTGCTCTCTGACCAGGTAGGACTTCAGCTGCAGGATGCTTTAAATATATGTCATCTATTTTTGAGCTGAATCGTGCTTTCAGTGCCAACGTTTAAAATGTGGTTTATCCCAAATAACAGCATCAGAGTACGTCCAAATTACTGATTTGACAGACTGGTTTCAGAAATTAAAATAACCTCTCTGACCCCAATTTGAAGAACCAGTGCTAGTCCAAATTAAATTTGGACATCCAAAGATACTTCAGTTAAATAAAATAGTTCCTACTAAGGGTGTGTGTTGTCAAGGATCTGGCAATACAATATATATCACGATACAGGAGAGTCAATTTGATATATTGCAATAGTAAAAACCTGACGGTATTTTTATTTAATTGAAAAACTGAGGCCAGAAATTTTCAAAACACATCCAGTGTTATCGCAAGATCTCTTTCCATCAGAATAAACGCAGTAAAAACTGCTGCCACCTAACAGTCGGAGTTTGAATTGCACCACACAAAACTAAACTCCCAATAAAAATAATCTTTACCCTGTTTTTAAATATTGATTCACTGTCATAATGCAAAATATTGCGATATTTCAGTGTATTGATATTTTCTTACATCCCTTAATCCTATAAAATGCTCCTCCAAACACTTAAATAGTTACCAAAACATAAATTTGGAAATTTTTCAATGCTGGATTATTTTTCTGTCATATAATTAAACAACTGCAGGTATTGAAAACCAAACAACAATAAAGTGTCCTGGTTGCAGTTGTGTTTGTCTTTTAAGATGATTGTCAAAGTTCTGAAAAACTTGAGAAGCTTAGAAAGCGAAAAGCAGTGGACATTGATAAAAATAAACAGTTGAAGCAGATTAGCAGTGTTGAGAAAGTTTGTTTAAAAAACTAACTAGTTCAAAGTTCAGTTCATACATTTTAAAACAAACTAGTTTGTTTCTTAGTTCATAATTAAAAAAAATTTGAACTTAGTTCACTGTTCCAAAAACGAACTAGTTCATAGTTCTTTTTTCTCATATATATATAAACAATCTTAGGAAGCAGGCTGAGGTAGCAAACTCAAAGTGCAATATTAAAAGTGCAAAACATTAAAAAAAACTATAATGCTTCAATTAAGTTACTTTTCAATTTTTCTCAATGAACTTTGACTCCTGCACACAGCATAGACGTAGAAGAGTAGACGCCGCACCAACCGCTACTGCCTATGTTTGGCCACATTTGCGGGTTTTGCTTTTTATAAACTCTATGGTTAACAGGATGTTTTAGCTAGGGTTTAGCTCCGGAAACGCTCCGTGGAGATCTGGAGCTAGAACGGCAAAATAACATGTTCATAAACCCGTTCACGCACGCCAGGATGAACGCACTCACTTTTACGTTCGTCAGGCAAAATACAAACGAGTTCAGTTCACGTTCACGAAAAAAATGAAAAAATTCAGGAACGATCGTTCAAAGAACGCGTTCGGGCACAACACTGCAGATTAGGCTTTCAATTTTTGACAGTGATTGTGAAGTCCTACCAGAGACATTATGTCTTTGTTGTTGTTGTGTGTAGCTGAAGCTTTTATCACCGGATTTTTGTTGATCTCTCCCTGATGGTCCTTGTCTTGCCTGTTATTTTCCATGCAGCTAATGCGGGGCGAGGAGAGCCTGCTGAACCTCATGATGGAGAACTCGATGCAGTCTGCCTGGAAAACACCCCAGTTGGGTCGTAGACCCAAAGGAGGTACCAAGCTCCGTGCTCGAGGTCAAGCCACAGCCCCGGCCCAGCCCCTGTCTGCAGTTGCGGCATCCACCGCCAGCAGCCCCTCCACAGCCAAGAACGTCTGGGCAAGCGAGGCAGAGTCCAGTCAACTGGGCCGGAAAGGGGAAAGGTCCAGAGGTCCCTCTAAGACTTCACACTATCACGTTCATCATCACCAGACTAGGAGTTCTGACCTTCACAAGGACCCATCCCCACAGCCACCGATCTCCAAACTGGATTCCTGCCACATCTCTGAGGACTACGGTCTATGGGACACCATCCACATGGGGAATGGTGTTTCATCAGAGGCTGGATCTGGTTTCTCAGCAAACTCATCCCCACCTCCAGCCTCCAGTCCTGGGATCATGGTGCCCAACGCTGGAGCCAGCCTTCATGTTGGGGCTCCTCGGCTCCGTCTGGTCCGCCAGGGAAAATCAAGAGTAAGGGGGGCCATGGGAGGGCTAGGGTCTATGGATCTACCACTCGCAGGGAAAGGCACATCCCTGTTGGACCCTGCTGAGACTGATGGGTACTACTCTGACTGTGAGCAGAGTGATTCAGACCTACGATCTGGAGGACGCAAACTTCGGCTGTCACAGTTGCATTCTGGGAACAAGGACCTACTGAGGAGAAGCGTCCTAGCATCCTAAAAACCTGAGACACGAACTGACAACAACCAACACAAAACCAGTTATCCAAGCTGAGTGCTGCTGGCTTGTTGTTTTTTTCCATTTGTGCCCAGAAAAACTTACCAACCATGGCTGGATGGCCGTGTTCTACCAAATGTCTGTCACATCTGTTCATGGAGACTTTCTTCACCTCTAAACCTGATTTGTTTTTCAGGTAAATTTGAATGTAGCTGTATGCTAATCGTACAGTAACGCTTCTCCACTGGACCACGGTTTGCTGTTAGCTCATCACACAATACATTCAACAAATAGGAAAACAAACGTTATTGTTTGTCCTCTGTTTTGTAGATTTCAGATCCACCTTGCTTCTGAGCGTTTAAGCGCCCAGTCCTGGCCTCATGCGTGTGGTATCTGCCAGACTTCAGAACAAACACTTTGGGGCATTATTCTTATGATCACTCAAGCTGGTTTCAGGGTATGTTTCATGCTAGGGTGTTCTGGCTCAAGTTGCATCTAACGAGTTCTTGTTTCTGGAAAGACGATTCATACCAGAGTTGGTCTAAATATGTGCAGAGGGTAACGTGGAGCGGCACATACTCAGCCTTGAAAAGCACAACTAGCTAGTCGTATGAAGAGTAATCGAGTATGTGCAGATACTCTTCCAGGATTAGGGTCGATTTGATTCATGCTGTCTTGGATTGCAAATTTTACACTGAAGATCTGTTTTCATCCCCTATATGGCCGTTATTCAGCTTGTCATGTTCTTACTTCGCAAACAGATTGACCCCAACCCTGCTGTTGCTTCAGATGGTTATGGAGATACAAACTAACACACATAAACTACTATAAGCAAGTCCCTTTGCTCACATCTCAGCCTTTTTATAAATATGTGATTTGACCTTTATCCACTGCTGTCAAATTATTTCTAAATCAACTTTGTCCCCCTAAATTTTTGCAGAAATCTCCTTACAGAAACTTTGTGCCTTCTGCCGCCATTTCCCCCATTCTCTCGCCCCCTAGCCTTTAAAAAAAAATCACAACCAAACAATCGATGAGTAAATCAATCAGTCGTTTTTCAATCGGACTTGTAACAGTCAAATCAAAACTGAAACCCAGTGGATCGGTTACTGAATGTAGCCAACACTGGGTTCCTAGTCACCTTAATGATTGAGTAGTGCCTAAAACAGATTAATAAACCCAGCATTTATCAGCAAAAGCATCTGCAGCACTTTGCAATCCGGAGCCATACTGCACTATTGGAGCAGAGATGCCCGTGAGCCCCCTCCCAATGTGTCGCTGCAGGACAGAACCATCAAAATACAAGAGTTTGGCCAAGTTGCACTGCCACATACCCAGATTGTTGTTCTTGTTAATTGAAATATTCCCTGGTAACCAGACATCGGGAGAAATGACTTAGTTTCGATTGCCAACATGCATTTCCTTAGGTTTAATTTTGGTCTAAAAAAAAACACATCCAGTAGGTTAGGACACGAGCGTGGCTGCAGCTCAAGTCTGACTTGACCCAGCTCTTGTAAAAAATGGCTCTACTCCAAACCTTCCTTCCAAACTGAAACAATAATTAGCTTCCAAGCTTTTGAGCTCTTAACCTGAGGTGTGTTTCCTTCTTCAACAAAGTTTTATTGTTCTTTTAGAGAGTTGTATTTTTTACCTAAAAAGGCAGTTCATTGTATTCTCAGGGGTTTAAAAAAAAAGAATAAATAAGATTAAAAAAATATGTATGTAAAAATAGGATATGTCACACAGTATATATAAAGTGAGGTGTGTATGTCTAGATATGTCTTTATTTGGCAAGCTTTATTTGATTTCCTACACGAATTACTACTGAGCAAATTTCTCGCTGGGTCCATCCGCTCTGGGTTTAGCAATCCTATTGATCTGAGCGTAGAGATGCACTAAAAAAATCAATATTCATCATGACTGACCTAATTTATCAGCCTCTGATCTGAAACTTTAAAAAAACAGCAATAAAGTAATTTGACATTTTTCCGCATTTATGAACGCACCATTGCTAAGCGCTAATTTATGCTATCAATATCTCTTATGTGGGCATTTCTACTTCCAGAATCAAAATTTTTAACGTTACTGAGGAACATATTAAAAAAATACATTATGTTGTATTTTTTATTTGAGAACATTCTGAATCTGCCTAAACTGGTATCAGCAGGTCAAAACCAGAGTCGGTGCATCTCTACAATCTAGGTTACTCCAGACATCTGGCTCAAAACTGCTTGACCTAGGTCTGATGAACCAACATTTAAGTAGAGATGCTAGAAGGTTCTTACTTTCTCTTTCTTCAACGACTGATTTTAACTGATGTTTAGGAGTGACCACGCCAAAGATAGCATCTGTGTGTCCAGGCAACATTTTACATCTGATCTGCCCAAACACTTGTACATGTGAAAACTGTCGACATCCAGGTCGGCTCAGATCAGCGTCACATGGCCTCCTCTGAACCAGGAAGTGCCAAGGACTCTCCCAACACATCCAGCCTGGATTCTTGCAGATCAACAATGCGATGGTCGTTTAACACAAACTCACATTTATCCCCTTTGGAAACAAAAAAGCTAAATGCTGCTTTAACAAAGACACAACACAGCTCTATTCTCTCTCTCTCTCACACACACACACACACGCGCGTGTGCGCTGGTATAACAGGGTTATAATGTAAAAGATGACTAGTTTTGTATGTATATGTGATCCTGAGTGTATCACAAAGCATGAGCTCACTCAGAAGCGCCCTCTATTGGCAGGAGAGTATTATCACAGCGACAGCGCTACATCTCTGTCCACATTTTCCTTCAGGTGTAGCCACCGTAGAACCTTCACGTCATTTGTTTAGAATAATATTGTCCTGATTTTGGATTCGGGACTTCTGTGTTGGCTACTACAATACACACATGCACACACACCACAAAAAACAGCATCAACACAGGTTTTTTTCTTTATTTGTAATGAGTTGTCATCACAGCCTGGGGTTACCTTCTTAAGATGGTTGGTAATGTTCCTGTGCTGCTAAGACGGGAAAATGTAATCCTGGTTTCAATATTCAATGTTCCGAGTAGCCTGATGTTGTAGACAGTGGTATTAGAAGAGGCCTCTCATGTACGGCCTTAACATGTAGTAGCAAATGCTGAGGCTGCACAGCATAAATGGGGAAAACAACTCACTTTGTGTTGAAGTTAAAAAGATGGCTAAAACGTTCCTCGCTGTCATTATCAAATCTGAAACCTATTCATTTTCTCTTGATGCTGTGCAGCCTTGGCTAACAAAAACAGCTTATTTTTCTATATTTACAGTGTGGCTTCAATGCCCCATCCTTCCGCTTCGTAGATACTGTAGACTGGAGTTATTTGCAGGGTTTTTTTAATCGATATTCACTAGAGCACAACTTCAAAGTCCTCTGTGTGGTGTGGTGGTGTGGGTGTTGGCTCACGGCCCAGAGCGTGCTCAGACGATCTCTGACTTTTGCCACTCTTGTCGTGTTACACTTCCAGATGATGCGAGAGCTTCTTTTTGAGTGTTTGATCTCTCCGTGTGTGCAGATTCTGCCAGAGCATTTGAGGAAACGTTTCTGTTTCTGTTGAAATTCAGTTGGCGTGAATGCTGCACTGCAAAATTGGTATCAAAAATGTGAGGGCGGCTCACGAAAGTGCCCACACAGGAAGTAATTCATCTGGAGAGAAAAAAGAGCAGCACTTGCTGGTCCACTCAGGTGCTGCTGACCGATCTTAGAAATTTCAAGGATAGACATCACTGCACTGGCAGAGCCTGGCTCCTCAGAACCTCCTCAAACTGGTAAAGGTCAAATATGCTTGGTGTTTTGTTTGTTTATTTCTGGAAAGTTCTCATAAACATGATCGATTATAAGTTTCTGATTATTTGTAGTTTTATTGCTAACACGTTCTAGAAGGGTGTTTTTGGATCAATAGCCATGTTTCCATTAAAGGAGTTCCTGGAAATTTCTGGAATGGTTGAGACGGGGAAGATACGAAGGCTCGGCCCTATCAAAATCGACCCTTTCAGGACTTTGCTGAAGCCTGATTTAAACTCCTTCATCAGTGCGGAGACACGCAACGCCATAATGAGTCGGCGCAAGGGCTCTCCAGCTTGCTCACAGAGGGTGACGGAGACATGCCCAAATTTTTAAACATCCATATAAAAATGACGAAGACCACAAGCTTGTGATTGGTCAGGATGCTGCTTCCTATATATTCATCACCAGCACCACTGTAGCTCCATTAAAAAGTATAACAGATATTTAGCGGCAGACCTCGAACAGATTGAAGAACGCATCTTGGAAAAAGTCCAAAAATATGAAACAAACGTGGATGGAAACAATGGAAAATGTGGGTTCAGAGTTGGCGACCGCCTGAAGAGGTGGAGGAGAATGAAGGACAAATTTGTCTGTGTTATAAAGTCTCTGAAATCTATAAACACATTAGTAAATACACTATTGGGGACTCAATACATGAGGGTTATGGTGGCAGGACACCACAAAACAGCGCTACGCCCTCTGTTGTCCTGGCGGGGAATTGCTTTGCAACGCTCCACTACCTGAACAGAAGTTCAGATGTGAAAACCTTTCCGACACTCCATGGAGAAGTATAAATCTGGCTTATGACATAATCATATCGCCACTGCTTCTGCAGTGGGTGACGCTATTGATCAGTGCCAAAATGTGTCCATAAACATTAATAATAATAAACAATAACATTAAACAAACATTAATAACATTGAACGTTTGAATGTACGCCATAACTTAACTCCTTAGCATTTCAGCGTCCCTCCCGTGGGACAAAACCCCATTGCGTTCATTAAACCTGGAAATTTAAGGGGTTAATCCATTTGGCGGTCCGGGAGATCAGCTGTGTGAAGTGAAAAGCTGTGTTTAAAGCGCCGTTTTTAATGGCGCTCGGTAGTAGACCCCAAAGTGCTGTGAATTACGGCAGCATGGGGGGGGGGGGGGGGGGGATTTACACCACATTTTTCAGTGTTGGGAGTTTAGAAACGCTGATTCAAAAGCAGCACTGCTCATTTTCTTTTCCTTCTATTCTGCTTCACCAGCAACATTTTCAATTTTACAAATATCGGGCGTTTGGAGACGTCTGCTGATGTAATTTCCTACTGAGTTGCAATGAATCGGCATGAGTTAACCACAAGCTCAGCGACCCTGAGTATATTCTCCATCTCAGGTTCTCCTTTGGTACCTGAAACGGCCCAGAAAGTGGTTCTTTCAGCCGGCCAGGTGAAACTTGCATGCCGCGAAGGTCCGGTAAAATTACCCGGAAGTTCCGATAGTAAAAGCGGGATTATTATGCTGTTGTAGAATGGAGTTCTGTCCAAAAGGCATTGCAGTGTACCAATGAAAAGTCTTGATTAATATTTAAGAAGTCATCACTTGAGTAACATTTCAGTTAATTGGCAAAAAATACATTTATTCATACCAATTTAATGTGCTTTTGCATGCAATCCCAAACCAGGAGTGTGCAGATGGATCTGTTTATCAACTGAGCCAAAGAAAAAAATAGACTTTAGGCTTGATCAGTATGTAACGCCTGAGCCAAGGGGGTTTCTGGGAACCAGGAAGTGAACTGGAATGATGTCTTTTTTCCAGTGGGACCAGTCATTCATCCAGAGTGGTTTGAGGCTGATGTGAGATCCGTTAAGACAAAATTTCTATTAATTAGTAACAAATACTTAAAGTAATCAAGATTTAACAAAAGTGAGGAGAATTTGTTTAATTGGAAAAAAGCTGCAGAGGACTTTTTATGTTTTTTCTGTCCTAAGTCAGCTACACAAACCCACCTACCCACCACTGGACTTTATACACATCTACAGTAATGTATTATACTGCTCAGCTACTACTAAACATTTTCATATTCAGTGTTTTAGAAAAGCCTTTGCAGGTTTTTATTGAAATGGTCTTGTTTTTTTTTTTTGTTTTTTTTTTTTGTTTGTTTTTTTTTTTTTAACTTTTAGCTGGCCGCTGTGGCTGCATCAAACTAGAAAGCCAACTCATAATCTGCTTACACTGGTTTTACTCTGACTTTGCTTTTGTCGCTGTTGAGAGGAAATCTGCAGCATCCATAACCTAGACTCGCCGTACAGATCAGAGGTTTGGTCAGACAAACCGAGCGGCCATGGAGAAAAATTATAACAAAAACATGAATTATCAGGTTACAGTTAGTTTAATCAGTATGGTTTAACATTGAAACAGACTCATTTGTAACTGCTTTAAGTCTTATTTAGAGAGAAACTGAAATCTGAGTTTGGAGGGCGTTTTTTTAAACATTTAAAATTAGGATTTTTGTCAAATGTGAAATATGAATCATCAATTGATGCATGTAAAGAAGTAGAAGTTTGTGCCTCTGTCAGTCTTTTGGCTTAGTCTTTGATTAAATATAGCTCAAATGAGAAAACAAACTATTCTGAATCCACCCATTGTGTTCAGCACTAACTGTTAGATTAATTTTGTCTCCAGGGCAGCTCAGAATGTTTTTAGACCAAATCTCCCATCTGCACAAACTGTGCGCTTCATTCTGCATCTACCACCTTCTTCCTCCCACCAGCAAAGTCCACATTATCGCTCTTTCCTGATTTCCTAAAAACTCTCTCCGGTTGTGTCCCCCCTGCCCTCCACTCCCACTCTTTTTCTCTCCTTGCCCAGTGATCAGCCTCCTTAGCCGCCCGGCACATGGCTTCTTTTTTTTTTTTTTTTTTGCTTTTGGAGTATATTATAAAAAAGAAACTAAATAAAAACATCTGTAGTTATAATTATGACATGAATGAGGAGGTAATATTGACTCAGCTCCGCTTTTCTGTGACTGAAAGGAAGAATGAGATGCTTAGAGAAGAGGAGAGGGGAGGAAAAGGATTTGAGCTGAACTGAAGCCAGAGGGAAACAGAAAGAGAACAACTTGTTCTTTCCACTAGATTCTGTTTGCAGCCTGTCCGTACAGTCAAGTTAACAAGCAGCTGATATAAACAGCACCAGGCCCTCATCCCTCCCAGTTTTTCTGTCTCCTCACCACCCACCTCCACCCATTAAAGTGTAACCATCAAATCAAGAAAACAGAGCAGGAATCAGACATTTGACTGAAAATAATTCCATTTTATCAGCGTAGGCAATAATTTACTAATAAGCTCAAATTGGACACATTTATAAATCTGTGAAAATGGATTTCAGAACATTTTAGATTAAGAACTGTGGATTGTGATAAACAATTATAAAAGACCAGTGTTATCTGTAAAATGTCGCCAAACGTGAGTTGTTTAAATGAATAAACATATTTATGCCCATATTCAGCTAAAAATAAGAAAAAATATTGAGATTTGGGAGATGATGCGTCTCATCTGATTCCTCTTTGCTTTATTTGTGTAACATTTAAAGGGAGACTTTGCAACTTTTTATGTTTGTAGATCCTTTCTTGAGCCAGTTTGAGCTAAAATGACCCTTTACAGGGTTAATGAAAGACCACCCAGCACTATCGCCCTCTATGTCCAGAATAATCCACTTGCAACTGGTGGGCCGCTCTGTTGGGACTTAGAAAAAATTGAGCTGGCATACCTGGCGCTGCAGCCTGGCTCCAGTACATTTCCTGCATGTTTTAGATCATGAACACAGCTGATTTGTGTAATTTATAGATGAATCACTTCTGTAGATACTAAGGAAGACTGGGGAGAATTTTTAGCTGTTACATTACGGTTGTTAAAATTCGGACTCACAGCGAGGAAACAGACTTGCTTTCAGTTATACAAATAGACACTAAGGGGTGCTAAAAGCAAGCCCAAACTCTTGTTCCCCTTTAAATGTCTCTGCTGAGCTTTGCCTGAGGAATTTCCTATAAATAATAGTAAATCCAGATAATCTGACACCATAATTTAGAATAGTTCCTAACCCAAAACTGGTTTGGACATCTCATTATTAACTCCTTCCTTTTTTTTTATTATTGTCAGTCATTTTAGTGCTGAGCTTGCCCTTATTTTGTTCTTCCTTCTGTGTTTCTCTCTTCTTTGTTCCATTATTTCTTGGCATCCCTCCTCAGTGCAGAACAGACAGTTTCTGACTCATTAATCACAGAAACGCTTGTGCTCGCCTCTCCTTGACCTATAAATCATCACCCCCACCCCGCATTTCAGGCTTAAAACTGATGAAACTAGAATTGTGCAGAATTATTTTTTGTCCAGAGTTTCTGCAACTTTCCACCACTTCAGATCATATTTCTTTTTCAAAAAATTCTCACTTAAGCCACAACTGTTTTTCTCCCCTTTTTTTTTTATGTTTTTAAACATGATCATTCTGAATCTTATCAGACGTTATCGGAGCACCATTGGTTCACTCAAAGCGGAGCTGGACAGGAATTTCCCCCTCCTGCTTTCTTTCTTTTTTTTTTTTTGTCCTTATAAAGGTGTTAATTTCTCTGCTGTCGTCCATTTATTCCTTCACTCTGCATCAGTTCTTCAATACAATAATATGAATGTTGCAGGAGTTTATCCTTCTGTATTCTTTGTTTCAAAGAATGTTGTGCCATTTGTTAATAGCAAAGAGAACTATTGAACATATATAAAAAAAGAGCTATTTTAAATTATTTTTGGCTTTTTTTGCTATATTTATTTTCTTGTATTAGAATCTTATTTGTAGGAGGGACAATTCAAAAAATGTATTTTTCATTAGTGCGAAAAACCTATTTTCTTCCTTTTTGTACAATTTCGATGTTTTAAGCAAGACTTTGAAAAGCAATATGATATGTTTCCTGTGACTGTATCTGCATGCTGTTTGTGTTGCCTTAATGATGGCTGCGTCCCACTATGTCCCAACCCCACCCTCTTTAGTATTGACCCCACCCCACCCAGATTGGACTCCCACCATCCCTCCCTGAGAGCCCACCTCATCTGAGGGAGTTCCAACCCCGTCTGATCCAGTCCAGTGCAGTCAATAAAGCAGTGCTTTCTGTGTACCTGAGCTCTCTGTCTCTCTGTTCACACTAATTAACAAACTCGGGTTTCTAAAAACGTATTCAGGATTAACCGATTTTCCTTTTGGTGGCCGATACCAATTTTTGTACAGCTCCAATTTGTTGATAATGTTTTGGGTAGATTCTGATTTACCGTATTGACCCAGATATAGGACTTTTTTTTCCATTGAAAATAATTTTTAAATGTTTGGTCGTCTTATAAACGGGGTCTAAGCACATACTGATATTTGACTAGGGTCGTTACAGGACCGTAATAGCAGAGGGTGCCAGGCTGTATGTTCTCAACAGGAGAGCCGTCGGGAGCAGAATGGACCGAAAGTGGAACAAGTTGACAAGTTACTAAGGCAGAGTTATGATGCTAATTTTTAGATGATGGTGGACAATTCAGCAAGGCATGGATGGCACATGGCAGTGAAGATGACGTTCAGTGGGAGGTGCCGGCAGGTGTAGTGATCTGATGGTACACCGGGACCGCAGCAGCATGAGAGTGAGGCAGAGGATGTCTGTGAATGAAAGCCTCATTGGACTTTTGGTTTCACATGTGAGCAAAGTTCTGAAAGTTTGCATTAAAATAGTATTTTTGCTCAGTATTCTCAAATTTTCAATAAAATTTGTTTTTTTTCTGTCTTTTCCTAAAGATAATTCTTGGAAAGGAAGCTCTTATGTCGGGGTCATCCTATATTTGGGTCGATACGGTATTTCAGAAATCAGAATTAACAAAGTACTTTTAAAATGGATAAATTATGAATCGGAGTAAAAAAACATTGTCATGGTTGTTTTTACTATCAATTTGAATTGTGAGATGATCTAAGATTTCATATGTAAATAATTGATTGTAATTTATTACCATGCAGTGTAATTCTTACGTTAATTGAATAACAAAAAAAAAAGCTTAAAGTCAAAAAGGTAACTAGAAAAAATTCTGAAGCTCAGCTGTCATAAGGGCAACGTTTAGGTCTGAGAAATGGTGCACCGGTATATTTGTTCCCCTGGGAATGACAAGGCATTCGTTCCTACTTGAGACCACTGCAAATGTATTGATTAAACAACTCATCCACTCCTTAAAAACTTTTTTAAATCTTTTTTTAAGCTTCTTAAGAGCCCACTTACATTTAGCACCACAAGAAAGAGACTGATAGGCAGAAGAGAATAAAAGTGACGTTTTGGGGTCAGAAATGAGAAAACGATGCAAAAGCGAGTGGTGCACTGTAAGGGCACACATGCCAGTTGTCAGGTGTTTGTAAAAAGCATGTGAATTGTTGCTTAATGCAAAAAGCTGCACTGCAAAGTGCTCATTCTGTTGGACAATCAATTTAATAATTTACAAACAAAACATAAAACCACCAATTATGTCTGACTTTTCTGAAAATTTTTTAAAAGTTCCCAAGTTCCTGAAATTCTCTACAGAAAGGTGATCATGTATTTCTTTTTCTTAGCGCTGAACAGCTGAAAGTCGCATTGTTATTGTGGGCTAGGTCCTCTTTCAAAATGTATACTCAGTGAGTGCAAAAGTATTTATTGTTTAGTTTTTTTTTATAAACAGGAATCAAAGATCTTTTAGGCAATACTTATGGAATGTTTGATTACGCAAAGAATGATTGTTTTGTGTGTATTTGCATGTAAAAAAAACTTCACGCATTTAGTTTAATGCAGATTAATATTGTTTAAACAAAGTTTTTGGGCTCTAATCTTTGACACATTAAAATGAGTTTTACTCTTGATGACATCAGGGTAAATATAATAATAATAATAATAGCCTTTATTGTCATTGTACAGGATACAACGAAATTGGAGTGCCACTCCCTTGGTGCACAATACAATAATACCTCTAAATATAAAGGTCCCCTAAAACAAAACAATAGTAATTAACAAAACAATAGTAAGTAACAAAATAATAGTAAGTAATATATGCCAACTAACACACTATTTACAGAATAGCAGCTACCATATCATGTAAAAAAATGGCATTAGAATAGCAGCATAGTAGTATGCTGCTGCTTTCATGCAAACCTACTTTGTACTGGTCACACCGTTGAAGGGTCACACACGTTAATGCTGCGCTCCCAAGCCCCCACAATGGAGCTCTAAAATTGAGTCAAACCCAGAAGTACCAAAAATTGCAGTTCCACCCTCATCCGCTGGGGGCTGGTGTCAGAAGCGAGCAAATCCTCATTGACTCCCATGTTAAAAATACCAATTTCACTGCAGAAATAAACATGTTTACAGCCTGGTACTAAAACATGTTTTTGGTTTAAATGATCTAGTTTACACTCATGACAACTCTGAGGGGGGTGAATTTTTTTCTCACTCTTCTGTTTAAGTGTATTAAAGGCCTAAAATTCTGTATAATTAATGAGCATCAGACCCACGTGACCACAGACCTAGCTCCGTGGAAAAGCCTCGGTAGAGCCTCGGTCTGGCTTGGAAACTGTTTCAGGATTTTGAGTCTCTGTGTTTGTGTATTCTTTTTGGCATATTTTTTGTGTAATTGTTGGACAAAATGACTTGCTGTGGCATTAATTGCACTAATAGAGCGTCCAAGGAGTCTCCACTTCATTTTTTTCGGTAAGTAAAATTATATTTATGTATTTTAGGTCACTGCCGAGCTGAGCTTAGATTTTAACATGTACTGTTTAACCATGAAATTTAAATGTAATAGGGTAAAACCCAGTGCATTTAACATAATGCTGCACTTTGGAAAATGGGTTGAAATATAACATGTTGGTGGAGCTGGGTTCCGACTATCGGCTTGTGGAGCTCTCGGGAGACCGATGTTTTCCACCCGTTTCTCCCCTGGCTTCGCGGCTTCTGTTTGCTGCGCGTAATGCCGGCTATTTCTCCCCGCTGCTCGGCGCATCTCTGTCTGATCGCGGCTTCTGTGTGCTGCACGGGCTGCCGGCTTGTAGAGCTCTGGGATGGAAACCTTTCCACCCGGTTCTCCCCAGCGGCAGCTCTGCGCATCTCAGATCGCAGCGGCGCTTGTCTGCTGTGCGGCTGCCAGCTTGTGGAGGTCTCGGAGACCTCTGTGTTCCACCCGGTTTTACCCAGCGGTCAGCCCGGCGTATCTCTGACTCAGAAGCTCTGGTGTTGTGCACAGTTAACTCCGGTTGTAGCTAGGTTGCTACCTCAGTTAGCTTAGCTCCCACCTCCGTGTTAGCTTTGGGTTAGCCAGGGTTAGCTTCAGGTTAGCTTGTAGCTAGTTCGACCGGGTGTCGTCAGTTGATCCCAGCCTGACAGCCCCACCCTCAGCTCCTCCTCTCTTCCCTTTTGTGGAATTGTCTGAGCTTGAACCTGTGACACGGTCAAAATGGCGGTGGTGGCCACCTCCCATTTGGTCTCAAAAACGTGATGTTGGAGCCTATGGAAAGGAGATGTCCAGTATATTTATGTCGATGTGTGCTCCTGTGTGGATCTGCTGGTGATACTTCAGATTCCCTATAAGTAAAGCTTTTCCCACACTGGTCACAGCAGTACAGCTTTGCCTTTTTGGTAGGTTGATCCAACGGTCCGACAATTGATTCATTCTCAACCTTCTCTTCTTCTTTTGAAATAAAGACAAAAAAATGATACTTTTAGAAATGTTCTTTTTCGTCCCAGTGAGCAGCTGTGCAGCAGCATTCTGCACCAACTGAAGACTTGAGAGGTGAGATTTTGAAACACCAAAGATCAAGGAATTATAGTAATCAAGCCTTGATGTAATAGAAGCATGAATTACCTTTCCAAATATACAGCAAATTCTTTACTTTGGCGATCCTTCTTAACCGATAAAAAACAGATTTAGTCACCACACTGATCTGCCTGCCCAAGACAAGATCCCCGTCCAGGTATATACATACATACATACATACATATATATATATATATACATATATATATAAACAACTACACAAGTGCATGGCTCAGCACAGAAGAACCACCTTTTCAGGTCACAACTTACACCTGAAGGACAAGGGACACACTTTTGAAGATGACAAAGTTCTCATTCTGCACAGAGAAGATAGATGGTTTGAGAGAGAAGTAAGGGAACTCATCTATGTCAAAGAGGAAAAATCTATACTAAATAGAGGGGAGGTCTCAGGTTTCACCTTTCCAGCATCTACGATGCAACTCCTAATCCCCAGACGGTTTCAGTCTAGGTCACATCCTCCTGCATCTAATCAATACAACAATTCCCTCACAATTAGGGCTTACAACCCCGATGACTCATCAGCAGCTAGGGAGGAGGGTTATTCATAGGTAGTTTCAGCTTGTTAGGCAACAAGACAGCCACAGTTTATAAAATTCACCCTCCCATATTCCAGTCAGAATTGACTAAGCTCCTCGGATGAGAAGTGGAACGTCTTCAAGAGACCAAAGAAGTCCAGGTGCCTCTCAGATCCAGCATATTTCTCCTCCAACAGGGCTCAGACCAACTGCCATCTCAAGGCTAGAGTGGGTTCAGAACAAGAATGTGAACGTGCGTCATTGGCCTCAATGTCTGGATTTAAATTCCATTTTTTTTTATTCATGGAATGACAAAGATAGGGCAATAAAAATCCCAGTGTGCTAAACTCTAAGAGGTCTTTCCAGGAGGGAATAAAGGGACGACGATGTGACAAAGTGAACTTCAAAATGAAACTCTGTTTATTAATTCTGTTGAATTATTTAGCAATGAGATCCCAAACCATTGAAAAAACTCCTTAAACTCAAAAGTCAGGTTATTTGTGAAATATGTAAACTTTAAGATGCTTTTAATCCTGTTAGAGCAGCAGCTCCTTCATGCTTTATAATACTCTCTTTCCAAAGTTTAATCAATCGTAAATTAGCAGGTTTTATTCTCTAGTGCTGATCCTTTTCTTACACAGCAGCATATTCAGATTAAGTAGATACATTTTAAAAACTACTGAACTCAGATCTGATGCACCATAAAACGCAGCTGCCAGAGCTTTATCCAAACGGCTTTCAGCCATATGTTCTGGTCTTGTCCCAAAATACAAAAATTC